GGGTTTAAAGATTGATATAGATTTTCGAGGGATTTGGAAAAGATGGTTGTTTGAAATTAGACATTGATCAAAGATAAGTCCGATTCGAACAAGAATGTTATTGAGGTATAGTAATAGATAATTTTATGATCTTAATCCATCAATGACATGTTGTCTTTTAGATGATTTCATAAGTTACACAATAGACTTAATCCGTAACCGATAATAATGACATTAATTTTATGCCCATTTGAGCAATTGATCTTATTAAATATTCCAATTGGTTAACCATGTATTGATAATTCTCATGACCCAAAGAACAAGGCTATTTCCTGATAGCTTAGAAATATTTATCTAAAAGCATCGACAGGATACAATACCCTTTATCAGGACTTGAGGTACAATAAGAGATTTCGACAAATTCTCCGTTTCCCACAGGCCTCATATCAACAGTAATGGATAAGAATTCCAATTATTGATAATTTCCTTTGTAGACATCTTACGATTTTCTTCACCCCCTCTACAATTACTGGGTAGATTTACCCCCGTGGCCCTAAGAACAAATCATTCTTGCAGTTGCATTCTTGTAGTGACTCTCTTGTCAGGAAGACCTAATCCATGATCTTGTCTTGTAGCCGACTTGGAATCAATTTTTGTAGTCAATCAATTTAATTATAGCATAATTTAGTTGTTAAGATGCCATATATAACAGACATGTTAACAACTTGTGACTTCGATTCCTTAACTATAATAATGGATTGGAAGTTAAGAGCATTAGTCAAGTAAGAGTTGAAGCAATCAGGAACGACGAATGGTATCGTATCTTCTCAGATATTCCGTAATCCTACGAAGCGGACTTATATATAAATATAGCAGGTCTTCGATATAATTTATAATAATAATTAGGTTAATTTCGAGATAAATAAAATAATTTGACCGTTATATAAGAATGTTTTTAAACTTTTATGGACTGGAGGCGGTAGAGAGGTTATGAGAAACTAATGCGGAGCACCATTTTTCCTTGAGAGCATCCTTTGTCCGTCCGTTCTCTATTCTTAAGAATAATATGTACTTGAAAATCGTGAAGTGGATCAGCATTCAGTTTTATCAACATTTCCCTGATGGGAAGAACCTGATTAAACATCTAGGCGGCCTTCGTTGTTCTATTCATAATTCTGCTTCCTTTTTCATGACGGAGAGAGAGGTATTCACGATTTATTTTTTTAAAAAAAACAGGAAAAATTGAACTTTTTAAAGTTATGTGTGTGTGTCTATATATATATATATATATATGGATTAAATTTTTCAGATTTCTATATGTTCAGAAATTTTGACAACTTTCTTAAAGTTATGGGATTGATGATAACACGTCTAAGAAAATGTATAGAAAATGAGGATAAATATTTTAAATAAAAGAATTTAAATATAGATAGATAGATAGAAAATAAAGTTTATTTTGGGACGAGGTCCCTCATGAATAACAATTATGAGCAAAAAAAATAAAAACCACATCTGACCAAAAATTACATTAATCAAAATTAAAGAATATATACAATATCTTCAGTGAAAGTATATTGAAACAAAGAAAAAGTAAAACCTTTTTGAAAAAAAGACAAACATTATTTTAATGAAAAGAAAAACGGAAATCAGGTAAAATAAAAAACAAAATAACATAAGCATGGGTTGATTTTTAAAATTGAAACTCGAACAATTTCAACAACCATTCGCCTCAGTCAAAATTTGTTTCCACTGTACTACGTCATTTTGGGATGTGAGAAGGAATTGGTAGAGACGATATTTGATTGAGGACAAGGAAGAGGCATGGCGGATATCAGACGGCTTGGAATTCCAGAAGGTAGTGAGTGCATCACATGCGTAAATGTGGGACACATGAGACCGCCTCGAAATACCAAGACATATCTTAAGCAGGAATTCATGGGTCGCTTCAATATATTACTATATACAGTGGCTCACAGTGACACACCCGTAAAAAACGAAAAAAAAAATACTTAAATGGTTACAGTAAACAAATAAAACCAGAAACCTTTCAACAGATGTATTTATAATCTCATTTTAACTATATACAAACTCCTTAAAATTAAAATCTTTATATGCGATTTTTTTTTTAATTAATTTTTAAAAATGGATAATTTTACCCCACAGTCAAAATGATAAACCCAATTCTTATTAACTTTTAAATAATATTAATTTAGTTCAATATCTTGTAGGTAACCCATAATTTTCTATCACTCATTTCAGTATGTTTGCAATGGAGTCTATCAATTTTTTGGTGATTTCCATAAGTTTTTTTTTTAAGTAATCTTAACTAGAAATTTGGTGTTCTCTTATTTCTGCCTCCAATTTTGCCCACAGTTGTTCTATCACATTAAGATCTGAAGACTGTGAAGAATTTTTATAACTTTGGGGCAGTTATAAATTCCTTAACTAACATGGCAGAGTGTTTGAGGTCATTATCCTAATAAAAACAAAATTTGCTGTTTAGCCCAAATTACGCACAATTTCTTTCAAGTTTCTTCTCAAAAGGTGTAGGAAACATGTATATTCACTATACTCTGTGAATATTACCACCATATGGTAAAGATTTCCTACACTAGAAACCGCCATAAATCCTCACACCAAGAAACACAACATAATAAGAGAACATAAAAAAATAACACTTTAATAGGATATTTATTGATTAATTTTACGACACGTTCTACTTTCGTTGAAAGTAACATTTGTCTAGTTTAGTATGGAGCAATGTTTAGTTACTTAAATCAATTTTTTTTTACGTTATCGCTTCCTATTCAACAAAAAACATGACTCGCATAAAAAACCACGAATCTTAAATTTTCCACTTTTCTGCTGGAAACTGGGTAATTGTTTATATGAATTTTTTTGTAGATCTTGATGTCTACTATCAACCTTTTAAATATTCCCCTCAATTTACGGGATACTCTGTATATAAGACTAATGAACAGTTGCGTGAGATTTGTAATGAGGTGTTCCGAGATACTCCCATGTCTCTTACCACTACACTGAGTTAGAGTGGCTCTTCCCCTCTATTCGAAGAAAATATTTCCTAGGTACATTCCTCTATCATATCATCAACAATCATCGGCCTTCTTACGCCTACAACCTTCTCCAATTCAAGTCCTCAGTCCACTCCCTTTTCACAAGATCTCGACCTTCCGACCTTTACATTCCTTCTCACAGATCTGCCTCGCTCCAAAACTCCTTTATTACTCGCTCTGTTAATTTTTGGAATTCCCTTCCTATCAAAATTCGGCATTCTTCATCCCTATCTACATTCAAAACCCTCCTATTCCAATTCCTGTCCAAAAAACAGTCAGACACCCGCTAATCTTTTATGTAAAATTACATATTATTCATAATAATGTATTCACATATAGCTCATAACTTAAATACTTATTATAGATTCGACTTCTTTTTTTTTTTTCAACAGAAACACAGAATTTACTGCTAAGAAGAATGTAATGTATTTTTTATTTTTTCTATTTTTATTATTTGGGTTTTATACAACTTAAGGAGTCATATCCCCAACACCCAAAAGCCACTGCTCCCTGCCCATCCAATCTCCTTCACGAAGCTCTCTGGCTGCCATGCTTTCCTCCACGTCCTCTATCCATTTCTTCTTTGGCCTTCCACGCTTCCTTCTTTCAGGTGGCATATAGTTATAAATTTTCTTTGGCCAGCGGTTCTCATCCATCCGCATTAGGCGGCCATACCACTTTAACCGTTTGGTCCCGATCAGGTGAAGGATGTTCTTTTGGCATCCGACCTTGTCTCTAATAGCTGCGTTTGGGATCCGCTCGATTCTGGATATGCCACAGCTTCTTCTCCAAAAATCCATTTCCATGGAAAGCAACTTATTTTCCATCTTTTTTGTCAGTGTTTCTAATTTTCAATTTAATTCTAGTTTCTAATCTTATTTCTTTACTCCATAGGGTTGAATTTATCGAACTTATTATTCTTTTCCCATTATTTATTTTATGTTCGATATCAACCTCGCTACCACCCTTTGAAGATAACCAGTATCCAAGGTACTTGAACTGCTGGCTGACATTTAGCGTCCATACTCTGTTTTACTTTCACTGATTTTCAGACCCCATCTGGAATACGTGTCTAGCAACTTCCTCATCATATAGGTAACATCATCCGGATCCGATGCGATTATGACTTGATCATCGGCATACTGCAAATTGTAGATGACATCATTCCCGATTTGAACACCCATTCCACAGCACGATCCTTTCCAGTTTTTAAGGGCTTGTTCTATATAAATGTTGAAAATCAGGGGTGAAAGGCAGCAGCCCTGTTTCAATCCTTTGTTAATGAAGAAGCTTCTAGACACTCTATCTCCTATTTTTATAGCCCCCGTTATATTTTTATAGAGCTCTTGAATTGCTCTGATGAGGTATCTCTTAATAGATGTGGCTTCCAAAGCTTTCCACAATTTCGCTAGAGGTACTGAATCATAGGCCTTGCGTAAATCTACAAATATCATATGGAGTTCACGGTCGTGGGCCATCCTCTTTTCTATAAGTTGTGAGAGACTAAAAATGTGATCAGTGCATTATCTTCCAGCTCGAAAACCCGCCTGTTCCTCGCTGATCTCTTCCTTTAAATCATTTTCAATTCTGCTTTTAATTATCCGGCCGTATAATCTACTCAGCGAGCTGGTATTTTTTCTAAAAGTGCATATTTATATTTTACCATCGTACATAATTAACATTGTCTTGGCAAGGTTTCAAGAGTTTTGTATATAGATTTTTTTATTTTTTTTTTATTTTGTATATATATATATAACTAATATTTTTTTTACTGATTTATCTTTATCTTTACTTTTTATGTTTGTTTTTATTTGGCCAGATATAACATTTTAATTTTGTACTTTTTGTTATTCTGAAGGGACTTCGTCCCAGAATAAAATTATTTTCTATTCTATTCTATTCTACATATATATATATAAGTGATCCTCTTAACTTTAAACTGATCAGCAGGGGGAGGCTACGCTGGAGGTTACGGCTACACACAAGGCTCCACCTACGGCTACTCGCAGGTCGGGGACAACAAGCCTACGACATACTACGACAGAAGCCGAGGGGAGACGGGCTATATCAACCACTACGACAGGAGGCCATGGGACGACCAATATTCCGGCCAGCAGGGATACGCAAGGGGTTGGGATTATTATGAGCAGAGGCCAGGAACTATTTCAGGAGGGGGGTATACCTATCGCCCCTCATCATCCTACCCTTATGACAGGTAATGTATCTAAAATAATACATTTAATAACGGTAACAACTTAAGTAACTATATCTTAGGGGGGCGGGGTGGCCGAATAGGCTAAAGCGTGTGCACAGCACCGCTAGTTGCCTGGCAACCGGATAACAGAGATTTGAGATGACATAAAAAGTACGAGTTCGCGTCCCGGTGCCGGAGGGGATTTTAAATTCCCCGCCCTCACCCCCCGGCCCGGGAAAATCCCGTATAGCCTAAAAGGCGAGGTAGGGAAGAACAAAAAAAAAAAAAAAAAAAAAAAAAAAAAAAAAAAATCTTAATATAGATTTAGTAACGAGATATCGTTACTTAGAGGTGTCTTACTTAGCGGTACGATATCTTCTTCCTTTTTATCATATCAAAATCTTTTTATGCTTAGTACATTCTGTTACTAGAAGATTTAATAATTTCAATTAAGGGATAAATAGCGAAATATTCGTCAACACTTCCTATTTCAGGATGGTCTTGAGATAGAAATAGAAATTGAAATAGAAAATCAACTTTATTCTGGGACTAGGTCCCTTGAGAATAACAATATTGTTGAAACCAATTGACCACAAAATTTGGCCAGATGACCTATTATAATAAAGAGTAACTACAATCTAAGTAATAAAATGAGTATATACATAGTTTTGGAGGGTATATTAAGGAAAGTAGATTACAATATTATATCAACGGTTACAATATTATAATATTGGTACAAAAAACAACAACATACTTATAACTAAATAAAATTGGAAATAAATGCTAAATAAGTTTTATAGTTAACCAATTTTAGTGCTCCAATATAATAAAAAAAATAAAAGAAAATAGCTAGAGTAAATAAATGAGATACTCCGAACACTTAGATTGCTTGATATGTTCGGATTCCTTTTCCATGAAATGCCTAGCATTTAACTTACAATAATAATCTATTTCATTTTAATTTATCTTAAAAACATGAAAACTTAATTTAAAAAATAATTAACAAATGCCTAGCGGATGTTCAATTTTCAAATATGTGCATTGTAAGATTCATGGCTAATAAATAATCATATAGTTATAATATTATTAAATGATTTATGGCGATTGGATATTCAGTCGCCCGAAAACATGTGTTTTTTAGAAAAAAATAGTTACGATAAATTATTACGAAGTTTATTTAACTTTTATTTTCTGCGAACTGGGATTTAAAATAATGTTAAGTGATTCCGTGAAATAAGGATTTAAAAAGACCTGCGATACAAGAAGGTTAAAACATAAGTTTTTTTTTGCATTTATTTTGGGCCTGTAACATCCAAGATTATAATTTTATTATTAATTAACATATCATAAGTATAATAATTAAAAGCATATTACAAAAATGTTTTAAAAAATATGGTTCTATAATTTCAATTGTTTCGTTCCTAAATCCGATTTCTATCAATGGAATCAAACATTAGACAATATCACATGACTAATCCTATACATAAGTTCTAAAAGGTGTTTTTTTTGTAGGTACGCCATAACTTCGTCAATTCTTCATCAAATCCAATGATTGACAACTCATTTTGAAGATATTCTTTTCCTTCACATGCGAAAATTAGTCCTATCCCTCCGAAATTTCTGGGGGAAAAAGTGATGAAAGAAAAGAAACTTTATTCGCGAATAACTCAAAAATTATTTTACCCATAATTATTAGATAGATTACTCAATTACCTACAAAACAAAACAAAAATTGTTGAAATCGGACAATTATTAACAAAGATACAGTCCATTAGTTTTGGTATACTTAATCATTTTTCCTCTTTAGATATCTTGCATTTACTATTCTACTACACTTTTTTCCCTGGCTGATATATTAACTTTATCATTTCTAAATGGTATTTGTTTGTTCTTACGTTTTATTCTTTTTAATAATTTAGAAAATCCCATGATCGAGGCTTTATTTTGTCTTTATTACTTTTATAATCTTTTCAGTCAATGTTTGAAAATAGGTTCTACCAAAGCAATTTGTACAAATACTTTGGTCGATTATGTTAAATGGAATATTGTAATCGACCAAAGGAAAAATTTTAATTCCTTCCTTACATAATACATATGATCTACTTATTTCCAAACTGTTTTGCTATTTCTTCACTAAAAAAAAAAATTTCTGCGAATTATTCGCATGGGCCAATTAGTTATATTTATTGTAAATGATTGATTTAGCCAAAGAATAATGGTAATGATAAAAATTACTTTATGATTTAAATTCAGGTGTTCTCAGAGTTATATCAATTCAAGTAGATAATTCAATCAAATTAACATGTGTTACCGATCTTCTTAAGATTTTAAATTTATCAGTATGGGAGTACTTAAAAGGTATTGGCTGTATCAGTTATACAAGGCCATGAGAAATCCATTCCAAATAACGTAAGAAAATATTGAGTAATCATACATTTCTTAAATAATGTATCTGTATTAAGGAAAAACTTACGTGACTGCAACTCATGCCGACAGCGACCGCCACCGGTCCGGCCTACAGGAGGCTGCTGTGGAGCACGTCCTAGCAATGGACAGGCCGCGTAAGTTTCTCCTGCATGCCACAGCTATGGTCAGCTTCTGAACGGTACTTGGTACGAGGCCGTTTGGGGCACAACGATTGCTTCAGACAATGTCGTTCGCTTCTATCAGCTTCTAGCTTTAATCATAGACTTTAATTTACATTAACTCACGCACATTCTCTGTTATTAGGCCCATCGGTCCCAACTACAGAGCCGACTTCGAGAATCGCTACTACCAGAACCATATAGTCCAAGATGGAGGACCCGGATCAGAATGGGTACAACGTCCAGCAGGGGATGCCAACAGACCGGGAGGAGTAGACTACGGAAGGCCAACAAGACCTTCTCAGGGATCTTACGGTAACCTCCCATGGGGTGGCCAAGGACTACCTACAAGTCATTATGGTGGGCCATTGACACCAGAGCACTTCAGACCTCGTCCAAAGCCTGATTATTCCAGGCCCGGAACAGATTATGGTAGACCGAACCCAGACTATGGCAGACCAAGCACGGACTACGGTAGACCGAGCACCGACTACGGTAGACCAAATCCAGACTATGGAAGACCTGTTCCAGACTACGGTAGACCCGTCCCTGATTATGGAATTCAGAATCCCGATTATGGGAGACCAGACGTCTCCAAGCCTAGTCCCGAAAATTATGGAAGACCGAGCCCACCCTACAATCCTCCACCTCCACTCCCTGATTACGGTAGACCTACGACAGTTTTGAAACCCAGCCCGGGCGACTACAGCCGCCCCGCTCCTGATTATAACCAGCTGCCATCTGCTGCTCCAGATTATGGTAGACCTCAACCAGATTACGGCCAGCAAGGGGGCTACGGTAGGCCCTCTCCTGATTACGGCAGACCGGCTCCTGATTACGGCAGGCCGACAACCGACTACCGACCACAACCAGACTACGGAAGGCCTGTAGTGGATTATGGCAGACCCCAACCAGACTACGGCAGACCGCCTCCAGATTACGGTAGACCCATTCCTGACTACAGTAGGCCTCCTATTGACTATGGAAGACCAGGATGTGCCACGTGCAGGCCTGATCCAGACAGGCCACAACCAGGGAGTTATCCGAGACCAGGCAGCAACAATAATTATGATGGCTATGGCTCCGGTGGAGGATACAAGCCGTCAGGCGGCCATAACGACTATGGAGTAGGTTCAGGAAGCTACCCAGCTGTGAGTGGAGCAGGCAGCTATGGTGCCGCAAGGCCTGACGACTCGAGGAGGGACGAGCACGGAGATAAATCACCCCTGGACAGGTATCCAGGCCACACTGGTGTCGGAGCCACCTTCGAATTTGACAGCGACAGAAAACAAGGTAAGGACAATATCAGATATATTATGCTACTGAGTTAATAAGTCAAATTAATAATAAACTGTTATAAACCAAGAAAATTAATATAGCTGACAACTGATAAAGGATAAAGCTATTATTGAGGGTAACTAATAATAATCTTTATTATGTAAGTTTTTATGCCTAGTTTAATTTTCCTTACCGTTAAAAATTCATGGATTTGCATGACCAAAAAATCCATTTTAGATACATAAAACTATTTTTCAGCCATCACAACCGTCTATTGGTAGAATTCATCTTACTTCATGTACTAAACATGTACTTTGTTAAACGCATTAAATTTTATCTCCTTGTTTGTCCTCATTCTAATGTATCCATGATTGTAATTAATCTTCTGTCAATTACGGACTACCTTAATCAATAGGTAAGACCGTAAAGGTTACAAATAAAGCTTTAATAACTAGTTCACCTGTAATACATAATAAGCAGACATCATTTTTGATTTCGGCATCGGATCTCCAAATTCGTGCCTCAACAATCTCGAGTTAAGCGCCTGAGTTGAATCCGGTCAAAGAGAAAGAATCTCAGCTTTCCGCCATAGTGCAGATGGACATCAAGCAGAGAGATATAATATCACAAATATAATAATGAAAAATATAAATTATATTCTTTTCATTATGGAATCAAAGTTACCTTAGATTAGGTGGCAAATCATAGAGTAACATTATGCTCTACACATATAGATAACATAAATAATCTATAAGCTACAATTTGGTCTATATGATATTCACCTGTATCCTAATCCACAGACTCCTGCCTTCCTTCGGTCTTCAAAAAAGCAGACAGCGAATTAGATCAAGCCCCACCTCTAACTATTTGTAGAAAATTGGAGGATTTTGGTAACTTATTGTAATTATTATAAGTAATTTCTTAGGGGTTTAGCTAGCTCGTCAATTACGAATTAACATTTCCGGAACTAATGAAATTTAAAAAAAAAAAAAAAAAAAAGAATAAAAATTTTACCCTACCGAATCCTACCCAAAAAGATTTTCATAACTTTAGTTTGTACTTGTGTAATATTAAACTTAAATAATATGTTTATTAGAATTAAATCAATTATTACAATTAATTTCCACAATGTGCCAAATTCAATTTATAGTTTTTGAAAAATGACATATCAGTTGAAGAATTTAAAAGGCCTATCAATATTTTACTAAATTAGCTTTTTATTTTTATTTTTTTATTAGGAATCCTACGTTTATAATTTTTTCATATTTATGGCAATAAAACTTACGATTTCCTTCAAATTCTTTTAATTACATTTGCTGTCTCTTACGTTTCGGGACAATTTTCCCAACATCAGAGCAATCTTTATCTTTACTTTCTTTTTTTGATGTGGCAACATTTGTCAAAAATCAAATATTTGTCACATTTTTTTAAAACTATTTTTTGGTGATACACACTAATTCGTGAATCATGAATTTGTTAAGATATTTGATTAGTGTATCAATGAATATGTAAAGATGTGTAACACCAAAAAATAGTTTTAAAAAAATGTGACAAATATTTGATTTTTGACAAATGGTGCCACATCAAGATAAGAAAGTAAAGATAAAGATTACTCTGATGATGGGAAAATTGTATTGAAACGTAAGAGACCACAAAAGTAATTAAAAGAATTTCAAGACAATTGGAAGTTTTATTACCTTAAATATGAAAAAAAATTATTAAACCATTAATCCTAAAACAATAAAATAGTTCAAAAACGCTTTATTAGGTGAAAAATTTAGAAGCCATTCAGAAGCTCAATGAATGCCCACTCAATCCCATTCATCCAATGTGAGTGTCATTATGTTCCAAGGTTTTCTCAAGCCATTGTGAAGATTCTTTTGTCCAAAATTAGTCTTCAGGCTGTTATATAATAAGTTTTGATGCTTGTAGTGGATTCTTTCCAATAAACAAATGACCATTAACTATATATATATATATATATATATATATATATATATATATATATATATATATATATATATATATATATATATATATATATATATATATATATAGAACAGAATAGAATAGAAAAATAATTTTATTCTAGGACGAAGTCCCTTCAGAATAACAAAAAAGTACAGAAATTGAAATTTTATATCTGGCCAGATAAAAACAAACATAAAAAGTTAAGATAAAGATAAATCAGTAAAAAAAAAAGAAATAAAAATATTCGTTATACATACTATATACAAAATAAAATAAAAAAATCCTTATACAAAACTATTGAAACCATACTAAGATACTTAAAACTATGTACAATGTTAAAATATAAATAAACCCTTTCAGAAAAAATAAAAAATACAGAAAAAATAAATGTAAATTCTTCTTAACCGTAAAATCTGTGTTTCTGTTGAAGAAAAAAAAAGAAAAAAGAAAGTCGAATCTATAATAAGTATTTTGGTTATGAGCTATATGTGAATATGTTATTATAAATAATATGTAATTTTACATAAAAGGTTAGCTGGTATCTGACTGTTTTTGGGACAGGAATTGGAATAGGAGGGTTTGAATGTAGATAAGAATGAAGAATGTCGAATTTTGATAGGAAGGGAATTCCAGAAACTAATTGAACAAGCAATAAAGGCAAAGAGCAATATATATATATATATATATATATATATATATATATATATATATATATATATATATATATATATATATTGGCTTTACAGACTCCGTGTAGATCCCTGACCGCCTGAACCAACATTATCCTATTTCTGTCTATTTTTGGCTAGTTCTTTCCAATTGCTGTATGGCGTTATGCTGTGTATCTTGGATCACTTTTTTTCGTCTCCCACTCTTAGCATTAAGTCAATTATTGAGGCATTGATCGTTGTTTAGAAGCTTTCTGATGAATTTATTCGAGCTACATTTCGTATTAATCTTAATCTCATTGATCTAAAGCTAGTTTTAGGTTTCGTAATAAGGTTTTTTCTGTGTACCGAGGTTATTAGCTCAATATCCAAACCCAACCTAGAAGTATGAAGTGACAAACAGGGATAGCTCATATCCCTGATAATCTCAGGTTCTGGACGTTATCATCGTAATGTGTATTCACGATATTAGTGGTCTGAGTACACGGGTAGCGCCAGCCCTATTTAATATTTAATCAAAATATGGTTTAAAAATTAATAAATTGTATGATCAATCACCACAAATATGAAAAACAACACACAAATAATACTTTTCTAAAGATACTTCATCAGTTTCGTATTTAAGGGCATACAACTCCTCTATACTGATTGACATTATGTTAAATACAGACTTGGCGAGGAGTAAAGCCTCGGGTTTCGGATAACTAATGTACGATAAGACACGGGTACAAGAGAATGGAAACAGTTCTTTCCGGAGGCCAAGATCCACGGGTCAGGTTGCTTAACATCCTGCGAGTGTCAAGGGCTTGGCTACCATCGCTTAACTGATTCGGAATTTGCATGACGTCTGAAGGTCTTCTATCCAGGTTTCCCAAAAGGGCCCAAATATAATTTAGTCGAATTAATAAATTAAACGAATTACTTGCGACTTATTGGGTCGTCCGAATATTAATGTAGATTATTTGTTGTAAAATAAAATAAATGATAAGAAGCTGTTGTTATTAACCAAAATACGGTCCATTCCTCTCAATACATTTCTGCTAACGTGTTGGAAACTTTTAAAATCCTTCTAAATAGTATTCTGAGACGTTATTATTAACAAATTCTTAAAATGTATTCTCTCACGAATTTCGATCAATAAAAGTTTGACTATTTAAAAAGTGACCCAGATGTCCGGAGAGCAAGGCGGAAAAGTCCAGGAGAACTTCACAACGAAGGATTTTTTGGCAGACGTTTAATGCAAGAGGAATCCAAATATCAAGAATTTTTACCATGCCAATTTCGTTGAAGTGGTCAGCGGTGTTCGACTTACTAATTGAGAGTTTCTCTGCAATTAATCTAACACTTTTTTGGATTTTTTTTCGAACACAGCTCGCAGAATAACGCCATCAAGGAAAGAAGTCCTTCCACGACCATCTTCGTCTTCAAGGCTGAAGTTTTTTTAAATCATAGATAAACGATGTAACCACTCACAATTCCATCGCTTTTACTTTATTAATGTGTTTGATTAATAAATTTGATAGTTAGTCTGTTTGGGTTTCAAGGCGTAAAACTCATCAACACTTGTCTCATTTATTGATGTTCTGTGAAGTTGAAATGAGGAAATCCTCAGGAAAAAAAAAAGAATTTTTAAGTATTTAGAAATTCTATTAAACAGTCTAGGGGTTTAAGAAAATTTAATACGGCTTTTATGTTTTCTTCCTCATTTTTTAATATTAATGATGTATCCATTTTCATAGATGACCTATTTAGGCTTGCAGTAATAATCAGGGTATTCTTGAAAAATATGGTTGACTGTGAGAGAACTATTGGAGTTAAATTTGTATTACTGATTCTCAACCCAGTTATGGCAACCTCTTCTCTGCGATTAATTAGTGTTGAGACCAATAAAAATGAATAATCCCAAAACGTAAACCGTTTATTATATAGTGGGTTGATATAAAAAAAACAATATTAAAAAAAATATTATTAAAAAAAATAATCTTTATTTATGTAAGTACTTACCCACATTTATTTGTTTATTTATATCTCTCTCCTTGTTCTTACAACAATACGAATGTATTAATATGTTCCCATTGCCATCAATTTTATCAAATTCCATCCATTTCTTTATCCTAGATCTGAGTAAACGTAGCTTAATTGACCGAAATTTCAAAAACGGCACGTCCGACTCGGCCAAACGTTAAAGAAAATATGTAAAATTATCTGTAATTTTTTTTTTTTTTGAGGATTTCCTCAACTCCACAGAACAACAATAAATGGGACAGGCGTTGATGATTTTACGCCTTGAAACCCAAACAGACAAACTATCAAACTTATTAATCAAACTACCATATTAATAAAGTGAAAGCGATGGAATTGTGAGTGATTGCACCGTTCATCGATGATTTAGAAAATTTCTTGAGGGAGACTTCAGCCTTGAAGACGAAGATGGTCGTGGAAGGACTTCTTTCCTTGATGGCGTTGTTCTGCGAGCTGTGGTCGAAAATAATCCCAGAACAAGTGCAAAAATTCTTGATATTTGGATTTCTCTTGCATTAAAAAACGTCTGCCAAAATAACCTTCGTTGTGAAGTTTCGCTGGGATTTTCCTCCTTGCTCTCTAGACATCTCGTCTTCAATTTTTTCAGACATCTGGGCCACTTTTTCAATAGTAAAACTTTTATTGATCAAAATTCGTGAGAGAATGCATTTTAAGAATTTGTTAATAATAACGTATCAGAATACTATTTAGAAGCATTTTAAAAGTTTCCAACACGTTAGCAGAAATGTATTGAGAGGAATGGACCGTATTTTGGTTAATAACAACAGCTTCTTATCATTTATTTTATTTTACAACAATTAAACTACATTAATATTCGGACAATCCAATATGTCGCAAATTCCAGCAATTACCATTCCTCCCTTTTGCATGTGAAAAAATATTTTCTTTAAAGCTATACATTTATATCGTACGGGTTGAAATTAGTAAAAATTCCCCCTGTATTTGAAGTTTAGGATGAGGCAAGAAAACATTTAAGTAGCTAGAAGTTTAATTTTTTTACGTGACAAACTACTATTAAATATCCAGTTAGTACATTTATTTCGAAAATTATAATACATAATTTATTTTGACCCATTAGCCCTTTTGGGACAATAGAATTTTAAAAGCCCCAACTTCCACAAAGGGAGTCCCTTTATCTTTGTAATTTTTATTTTATAAATGGTAGATAAGGAAAAAATTAATTAATTTCTACTAGTCCATTTCAGCGGAAGGGTGTGATACGTATAGAGATTTTCAATTATGATAAAAGCCTCTACTGGTACTTTTATGTTTCTTTTAATGTCGTCCATGAAGTAATTCCTTTTATTTTCTAGTGGTAAAAATAATGCCCCTTATTTTTTTATTTCATTCATGAAAGTGCTTTTTATAAACATGAACATACATTTTTCAGAAGTACTGTTACATACAATGAATGAATCTTAATATTTATAAAATCATTAGCCCGTCGCCAAAATAAATATCAATATGAAGGCTGAGTGTGATCATTTCCCAACTCATACACTTAACTGATTTATAGACAGCAACGGAGTGAAAAATATCTAACTTTCAGATCGCAAGTGGGATTAAGTCTGAC